GGGACTGTGTGTAATCCATCCCTGGATCGTGATTGTCCCTCCCTGTATAAATTGCTCATTTTTGTTTTAAACATTGTGGCAATCAAACATTCCCCAAGGGATGTGGAGATTCTGTTTGCATCAGCAGGATCACTTCATTCCAGGGACACCAAGTCTTTGGTCGCTTGGCATGCGGGTCTTAAGTAGGGTTTCACTTGACGGAGCATGTGGACAGTTTGTAGGGGATCACGAAGGAACAGTGACCCCAGGTGTGGGGGAACCAGAAACCAAACTGGGCTTCCCCATCCCCCTTTCTGGACACCACACGTTCCCGGAAAAGAGGGTTCCATTGTTATTTCTTAGCTATGCCCAACTACATGCATGGCATTGTGATAACTGGACACCTACTGGGAGATTCAGAAGCCAAGCTTGGCCTAAGGGGCGTGTGAGAAGTGACAGGAAGGTCTGAGGCATCACTGGGTTCCCCTTGTCTCTCCTACCTAGGTCTTTTCTGGACAATTGTTGCCTTCTGGATTCTGAATGCTGGGGCACAGCACTAGCCAAAAGTCTAATCACCTACTCAATTTGCACAGTGTTGGGCACGCTGTCCCATGAACTACCTCCCTCTCTCTGGGTAGATGTTTCTGCCCTCATCTGCTTCAGCAACCACTTATGAGTGACTCTCTAAAGATTATAAAGTAGTAACCAACAGAGGAGTGATCTCTATGAGTAGCTCTGAGGAAGTCAAAGTGAAAAAGATAAGTTGTTTTTCTTTCTGTATGAACTCTAAGGCAGTTCGTTAATGTGAAATGGGTGAGTACAACTTGGGAGCAGGGGTACAATTAGAGTCAAATGTCAGATCTGCTACTTACTTTGTGACCTTGGACAAGTTGCAAAATCTTTCGAAGCCCAGCTTCCTTACCTGAAAAGTGGGGAAAAAAATAATACATACATCACAGGGATGTTCTGAGGAATAATTGATAAAGAATGTAAAGTGCTTGACTCAGTAAACATGAGCTATTATTATAGTTAAGTTTGTGACGCAGACTATGATCCAGTTATCTTCCCTCATTTTTCAGATGAACAAACTTGAGGCTCAGAGATGTGAATGTTACATTCTGATTGCCACACAGCTATAGAAAATGAGTCAGGATGAGCTCTTTGGGCTCCTGAAACTTGGTTCAATGCCTTTCTGCATTGTACGTGGAGTCAAATTTGCAACATGCCTCCCTCAAACCTTGAAAAAAAAAATCAAGTGAAAAAAATGATGTGTATTTTAAAAGATATTTCTGGCATAATCTTGTTTAATTTGCCTCCTACAACTTTGAATGGTATGTTCTATAACACCAGATTATGTGCAAGTATGTGTTTAATAAATAATTGTTGACTATCTGAAGAATGCTAATGTTTGAGTTGACGGTTGGATAAAAGTTAACATAAAAGACAATGTATTGTTTGCCCCCCAACAGCCACAGTTAAGGATAGCCACTCTCAAAAGTTCACGTTTATTTTTACCTTAAATGTTTTGCTGTTCCAAAATCAACGTGTTTTTTTAAAAGTCAGTATAGTGAAAGTCAAACTGTACCAACTTGTTTGAACTATAAGATTAATCTAGAAGGTCTATCTGCCGATAAGATTGTAGGATTAAAGGTCACCAAGAAGGCAGATCATGTGTATCAGTTGGATACCATATTGTTTACCACATGGGATAAAATCCCCTCTGCTCCCACTCTTAAGCACAGCTTCCTACCAATTACTTAGGTCCAAAGTTTACTTCCGATTCCAGCCTTAACAGACAAGTACTGAGCCCATCAAGTTTTATTGCAGTCAATACATCTCCCATCCAGAAGCAACTGGTCACAGCCATTTCCAACACAAAGCTGCTTGGGCCACCCTTTCTTCTTTTTATAGTCTGTTTCCAGACACTCAGTGACCCATAAAGTTAACTTGTAACCAAGCCGCAGCCATGACCAGAGCTGTTGTTCTTGTGTCCACCCGTAAAGTGCCCTGGATTCCCAGCAAGGCCTGTTACCTTTTCCCAGGACATGCACACTTGAAGGCAATGAATCATGCTGTTGTCCCTTGTGGGGTCATGCCTTCTTGTCTAACCCCAGGTCCTGGGTCCTTAATCCAAACTGTAATCTTTAAATATTCTTCAAACTCTGGGATTTTCTGGTTTGCCCTCACAAACACCATCCTGTGTTTAATGCCTAGCAGAATCCTTATTAATGGAGATGTGGCTTCTGCTGGGTGAGTTGGGGGTTAAGGCACACCCTGTGCTCACACCACCTGTGCAAACAAAACAATGATTCAGTTGATATTTCTAGCTTGATGTCCTGGTGGTGTCATTTACAACCTAATTTGTCTTCTTCTCCTCCCCTTCCTCTCTAAATAGGGTGAGTATACATATTAAAGAAAGTGTGATGGAGTGACTTGGCCTGTAAGGCAGGGTGAAATCTGAGAGTTATTTAATTTAAAGAAACTCATCCTGGCATGGGGTCCAGAAATTATCCCATGCCTATGATTAGGAAGCCACCCAGCCTTCTAGTTTTATAGATTTGGATAGGTTAGTAAAGTTCCTTGACTTGTTCAAAGTTGTGGAGATAGTTAAGAGCAGAGAGCCAGGGTTAAAACGCATGCCTTCTCACTCCCAGTCTGATGTTTTTCTCATTACACAATACTATGCTCCGTCAAAACCTAATTTCACTTTGTGGCAGAAAGATTGGCTTCCCAAATAGAGAGAGAGTAATGAAATGTGTTTTGGCTTCAGTAAAGCTAGTGTCTATCTCCCAAAACATATTCATAAACGAAGGAAGAAAACAAGGGTTAAATTTCATCATAGAAATATACAATGTTAGCAAATTTTGATTTTTAGAATTTTAGAACTGGAAAGTTCTAATCATCTAGCAGTGGCTTTCACCCTGTGTGCAGTGGAACACCTAGGGTTTCACAAAGGTGCCTCACGGGCTTTTTAGAGACAGGGGAAGAGAGCATGTATGTAGGACTCAGAGCCTCTCCTTTAGGGCTATGAGGACAAGTGTGTCTTCATTCGTTTTATATGCTGGGGTTTTATATTAGATTTTATTTTAAAAGACAAATTCATTTCCAAAAAGAGTTTGCAAACCTTAAATCTCGTTTAAACCCCTCAATTTACAGATGAGAAAACCATGCCCTTGAATCTAACTCTGTGGGGTTGCAAACAAGGACTACCCGATAAGGGAACCAAGATTCAAATCTTATATGAGATCTGCAGAAAGTTAGGGGTTTCATCAAGTGGCAGAGCCAGGGCTGGAACCAGGTATATGTTTCTTCCCAGCCTGTGACTTTTCCCATCTCATCACATTATTTAATATTAAACATGTGGGTAGCTTTATTGCTCCATGATCAAAAAAGTCCTCAAAAGAGTGAAGAACCAAAAGGGAGAAGTTTGAGGGAGCAGAATAAGAGAGAGCAACAATCAACTAACGTGGGGTAGGTGAATTACTCCTGGAATATGGAAATAGGTTGATCCATTCTCACTTCCTTTCCTCATGAGTTCATTTCATCTTTGCAAATTCCTTGAAGCAAAGCCTTATGTCCCATACCTAAACAAAGGTCTGTCACCTAGTTAGAGTTCAATAAATATTTGTTGAATCCTCATGCCATTTTCAAAACCCTTTGTTTGTCAAGAACCCGAGTATATGTTTAAAAATCCAATACTATGTCAAATTTGCATAAACATAACTATCAACTATAGATTCATCTTCACACATAGTAAGTGCACAAGGCCTGTTCACTGAATGAATCAAAAAACTCAGCTGGCAGTGTTGGAGTAAAAGAAGAAAATAGGACACAGAGTGGATCACCTACTCAAAGTCGCCCTGGCAAATCCGCATGGTACCTGGGCACCAGGTAGAGCTCCCAGTGGCAGCTGGCACCACTAACCTCTGTTCCTGATGGAGGGAAATGCACATTATGCCCATAAGCTGCTGGGCAGATGTTCAATTGCCCTCTAGCCCTGAATGAGCTTAAACAGAAACAAATAAAACCTGGGATCAGAAAGTTTTTATTATCACGTAGCCAGGGTGGTTCGCATTTGTAGGATTATCAAAGAGTACTGTGCAATATCTTTCCCTATGGAACTTTCAAAACAGGATGGCTAGATCCTGCAGGTTGAGATATTTTTGTCTCACCTTACAACAGTATCACAGTTTATAGTCTGTCAAAGTGCCTTGAGGCAGGACAACGTTATTAGATAGATGCCCTTCTGAGGCTGTCTGCTCCCTGGATTCAGTTCAGAGGAAGAAAACACAAGGTCACCCCCAAACAACAAAAGAAGTAAAAGAGCTTCCAAGAGAACATCATAAGGTAATGAGAGAGAGAGAGAGAGAGAGAGAGAGAGAGAGAGAGAGAGAGAGAAAGGGCAACAACAATTGCCAGCTTCCGTGTGGTGAATCAGCGTTGCCAAGGCAACCCCATCCTCATCTGCCTAAGGTGCTAGGAGGGGGGAGGAGGTGAGGGGGAGGGAGAGATCCCTTATTAACGGGATGAAGTGTGTGCCTGACCATGAAGCCAGAAGCGTGAGAATCTGATGGAAACCAGGCTTGTCTCCGTTGGCCCTGGTTTTGCCCATATCCTGGGACGCACTTCTGGTGAACGGCTGTGGTCTTTTCTGCGTCCAGGGGTGGGCTGGTTTATGTCAACAGGGTGGGGTTACCGCGCAAGTTACTAGATGGACGTTTGGATGTGGCTTTTCCACTTAACAATTATTAAGACAACTACTAGGCTGCCTTTCTCTTTGGACCCAATTCCCGACTGGCCTCTTGTTTGGGCCTCTTGGGGCCAAGGCTTGCTTGGTTCTGTGAGGCGCTAAGGATGGTGACCATCTTCGCTAACTGCTTGGTACAGGCTGGGCGAGGTTGCCCACACAAACCGGCCACTGCCAGGAACTTAACTGTTCTCTTTGTTTTAACCCCCTTATTGGATACAAGAGGCAGTTTCAGTCCCAAGTCTTTGGCCCAGCAACAAGTGACTGAAACGGGGGTAGCCGGCCCCCGCCTCCGGGCGGGCTCCCTGCCTGCTCTCCCTCCGCTCCCTACCCTGCCGCCGCCCCTTGCCCCCGGGATCACTGCTTTGGAACGTGCGAGCGAGAAAGTCCTATTTTCGATCTCTTGCTCGCCCCTCCGCGGCAAGGGGCTCCAGGACCCGAGGCACTGCGATCGGTGGCACCCCTTCCCGGCCCTCCTCAACCCCCGCGCACAGATGCCTCCACTGCCGGCCGACCTCTCCGGCGGGCGGTGCACACGCACCACCTGACTCGCACTCCCATTGGCTGTGGCCTGTTGCTAACCCACGTGATCGGCGCTGGCGCGCCCCGCCTCCGGACCCCGCCCCCGCGGGCTGCCGCTCTGCAGCGAGTTCCTGCAGGACCCCGGGTTCTCCGCCGCCCGCCCCGCTGCCTGAGCTCTCCGAGCGGTGCCGCGGCCACAGACGCCCACAAGGTGGCAGTGCCGCGCTGTTTGTGCCCAAGCTGGGGTTCGCGCCAGCCGCTCTGGGCGGTCGATGCTAGCGCAGCCCTCCTGCAAAAGTTTTAATGAATGCAAACACACCGGGACCTCGGGCTCTCCCAGGCCGCTGGTACGCAGCACTCCGATTTCGGGGTTCCTCTGAACGATCGGCACTTCACGGCCCCGATGGCGTCTCTCCTAGTCCTCAACTCAGAATCAGGATTTTGGGGCCTGTAATTGAAGCAGGTCTGTTGAGGTTTTCAGGAGTAATTTTGTTTGTTTTGCTTCAGGGACCTTACACTGAGAACTGACCCTTAAAGAGACATACAAACAATCCGACAATTATTCTTTGTGTCTTTTCTTGAGAGCCTCCCTCAACCAGAGAAGCAATCCACAGCTTCTCTTTTCATAGTGCAAGATCTAAACCACTATCTTCCCTGCACCGCAGTCCTGAGATCCTGACTGGCCTTACGGAGAGGAGAACACCGGGAGCCTCCGGCTCTGCAGCTGACCCAGGATGCCCTTAATTCCAGGCGCACGGAGAGATAAGCTCCTCTGACCTCACTTGACCCCACTGCAGGCGCCAGGCGTCCCCATTTAGTGTGTGAGGCATGGCAGGGGCGACTTTTCTCTCGGCTCACTGGAATGTTTTTTTTTTTTTCCTTTACTTTTCTTCTTGGCTTGGTGGTTGGTCTTATGTCCCCTACTGCTGTCTAACCCCTACACACGCACGCACATGTTTGCTACTCTCCTTTTCTACTTTAAACAAAATGTTCGGAGGGCTCTCTGGGCCTACCTGACCCTGGGAAAGAGAGAGGTCAGGGAAGGTGAGGACAAGACCATAACTGAGGCTGTGCTTATCTACATGTAGAAAAGGAAAGAGAAACACTCCTTACTTCCTATTATCTACACCATGAAGCCCAAATTCCATTCCCTGGGGGTCAGACCCTTTCTGTTCCGCCCCCTAAGCAGCCCTCTAGGGAATTTCCCACAATGCTCTTTGTCTCCTCCAAACTAGCATTCATCCACTGGTGACGGATGCTAAAGGGGAACTCCATGTTCACATGTGCGGGAGTTTCTGCTGAGACTCAGGGAACAGTAGGTGCCAAATAATTGCTGCCCACATTGTCAAGTGAGGTGTAGACCATCTCTGGGGGATTACTGGAGGTACAGCACAATTTCTCACCTCAAGGCTGTATGATAGGAAGCTAAGAACCCAGTAGAGGCCAGCAGTGAACAATTTTTTTAAAGAAAGGTGTCCACATGATGTGCTTTTCCACCTACTTTGAGATAAGTGAGGAAGGCTCCAGAGAACTACCTTGCATCCCCTGGAATTTGGAGGTCACGGTACAGATGACGCCTGAGAGCAGAAGGAGAACAATTTGCAGGGGCAGGAGAAGGATGTATCTGGAACAACCTTTACTTCCAAGATTTGGCAAGGTAAACATGTACTAACTAGTTTTCCTGTTGGCACAGTAGACTCATTTCCCATGACAGGGGCCAAGCAAGGTGAGCAGCACAAATAAGGACCCGTGGGGGGAGAGCAAGTGGCCAGGCAGCACAGGCTGCCTGCGGAAGGGGACCTCTAATGGTGGGGAAGAGGGTTTGGAAGAAAACCACAGAAGTACCCCGTAAGAGAAAGAGCCAGCATTTGTACATTTGTCACCAACCTCTAAATACAATTGCGCCCTCTTTGAAGAGCTTTGTTCATTGGACTCTGGGAGACCTGAACTACCCAGCCAGTGACCGGAGAAGATGACAGGATCCAAGGAGAAGGAACCAACACTGATCATGTCTGTCTCCCAACCACAAGTTTCCAAACCTAAGCCAGCCTCCAGTTGTCGATGGAAGGAGAGAAGCACTGATGAATGAGATGGTCAAGTTTTTAATTTTGATTGGAATAAGCTTTTTAATATCTGAAGAATGAGGTAATTCATGAATCCCTGAGGTTGGCCAAGAAAGCTGATTTCATTCAGAGGTGGGAATTAAGAACACTGACAGCAGCAAACAGTCACATCATACTTAGTGTTTTATGTGTATTAACTCATTTAAATCAGCACAACAGCCTTGAGAGATAAATAGTCTTATTATTCCCATTTCATAGACGAGAAGGCTGAGGCCCAGTGAGGTCAAGTAAATAGTGCAAGGTCCACAGCTAGTACATGGCAAAATCAGGATTGAAGTCCAGACTTTAGTCTAGGTGTGGAATTAAAGTGCTTTTCCATCTGTGAATCTTTATTCCAATTCTTAACCACACTTTACCCAACTTGCAGGCCCAACTCTAACTGTTGCTGTCTAGAAATTTCTTTGACTGTGACAGCTGAAGGAGCCTCCCCTGCTCTGTTTTCAGGGGTGCAGTCCTGGCTGCAGACTGGCCATTGTGCTCAACAGTGGAGGCATCTTCCGAGGAATCAGCTTCAGAACCTGTGGCACGTCTGTTAAATACCTTCAGTGCTGGCAACTGATCTTTTGAAGGTGGACATGATGTTTGTAACTATCCAGAAGTTATTTGGAGTCCACAGAAAAAGCCAGAGATCAGGGTAAGTGAAATGATTTTGGGTTAATGGAATTAGGGTATGCTGTAACTGAATGAGACTGGTTTTCTTTCGTGGTTTAAAAACTAGATCTACGTATAATTCCAAAGGAGAAAATTCCTCCAAGAGGTGAGTCATGGCAGCTTTACTAGAAAGCATGTATTCCAAGGAATCTAGGCAGGGTAAAAGTCATTTGGAAGTGTACACTTTTTTAAAAAAAATATTTAGGTATTTTCTAACCATGCTCATCACTTTATATTCAACTTTCATTATATTCTCTCTGTACAACCAGATTATGAAATGTGAGGAAAGAGACGGCTGTATCTTTTACTTCTTTGTATTCCCTTTCATACCAAGAATGTAACTTGGTGACTTGCACACAGTAAGTATTAAATGGGTATGTTAAACTGACAAAGAGCCTTGTATGTGGGGAAACTTTCTATTTGTGTAGAATTAAGAGGGGGAGTCGTGCCGTGCAGATGAGCTGGGGTGCAAAGCTGAAGAAAAGGCACAAGGGTAGAATAACATGAGAAACACTTGGCCTACTTGAAAAAAAGGGTCTCAGGGGGCAGAGTTTATCTGGTGTTATCACGGGAGATATAATTAGAAGGGGATGTTTTATGGGCAGAGTAGATCTTTATCTTCTAGGCCAGTGGTTTCTAATTTTTTTAATCATTAGAGATTTTTCTCTGCTCCCTCCCTAAAAAGGCTCCCTAAACAGAAACACAATATATAGAACAGATAAATGTAAAAGGTCTCTGGCTAAAGTCATGGGGGAGGGGGCCTGGGACTGGTTCCTTCAACGTGGTTCCTCATACACACATCCTAGGCACCACTTAGGTTCTTTCAAAGCAATATGAACCACGAGTGTAAACACTGGGGAGCCCTCAAGTATTGTGTTCCTTTTGTATCTCTATAGAAGTGTAATCCCCAGCTTCCTGAAAGTTCCAGATCTGCTCCTCACAACTGCAAACCTCTCCCCTTTCCCCAGAGTGCTTTGGGACCACTGTCCTGGGGGTATACCCTGCCTAACAGTCATTCCTTTTTCTTCCTTGCTAATGGAACCCAACTTGAATCTGGGCAGCCATGCACTCAATGACAATGATGAATAATCTTTGGTCTAAGGCAGAGATTGGCCAAATCCAGCTGCCGACTCTTTCGGTAAATAAAATTTTATTGGAACACAGACACTCATTTGTTTACCTCTTGTTTATGGCTGCTTTCGTGCTGCAACAGCAGACTTGAGTAGTTGTGGCAGAGACCTGATGGCTCGTAAAGGCTAATTTATTATATTTACTATCTGGCCCTTTACAGAAAAAGTTTGCAGGTAACCATGGCAATCCTGTTCTCCTTTGCCAGGATTAGGGGTAGACATAATCACTTTTGGCCAAGAAAATGTAAGGTAAAGTTTTCTGGAAGCATCTGAAAAAGACTTTTTTTTTCTGATAAAATTGAGGAACATGAGGAGAAAGTTCTTTTTGTCGTCTTCCCTTCCCTTCTAGCACATGAGGATAAGATGTCTGGAGCGGTGGTAGCCATATTGTAATCATGAGAAATAATAGATGAGCTGATTCCTTGATGGTGTCACTAAGCCACCAAACCTACCTCAGGACCATCTATGTTCAGACTTCTTGCTGAGCAAACAATAAAAACCCTTATGGTTTCGGCCAGTCTTCACTGGGTTTTTGTTACTTGCCACTATATGTAGAATAATTTAGGGTATTTTGTTTACAGCCTAACAGCAACAGGCAGAGTGTTCTTGTGGAAGTTGTGCAATGGAGTGGAATATAACAAATCTAGTGGATACTAATAATGATAACTAATAATTCTTAAAAGCTTATAGTTTACCAGTCACAATACCAAGTACTTTACATTCATTTTCTCATTATCGAAAAACCCTGTGGAGACACTTTTGTTGTTACCTCCACTTTACAGATAAGTCAAGTGCGGTTTAGAGAAATTTAACAATTTTCTCAAAATGACACAGTTAAGTGTCAGAGTTCAAATTTGCAGCTGACTTCAGGTCTGCTGACTTCAAAAGCCAAGGTCTTAACCACGATTTTACACTACTGTTTTTATCAACAGACCTGAGTTCAAATTCCAGCTTGACCACTTAGAAAGCAAGTTGCTTAATCTCCTTAAGCCTAAGTAATAATCTAGAGATAATATCTTCCTCACAGAGAGAATGTCCCAGCCCCAGTGCCCAAGATACAGTGGTTCACTGTTTTGCTTATGTGCTTGTTTCTTTAGGGGTAGATGGCAGTAAGTGAGCTATAGGAAAACCAAGAGTCAGAAAAGAGAGTAGCCAGGAAAGTTAAAGTAGACTCAAGTGAGCAGAGAAAGGCACACCAGTTCCTGAAAAATTAAGGGAGGCCTGGAGCAGGGTCAACCAGGCAAGTGCGTGGTATAGAGAGAACCAGGGTGCTCACTCCTCATGGCTACACCTTGTGTTTGAACAAGAACTTGGTGATCGGCTGCGGCCTGAGAGCACTTTCTAGTCCATTGTCCTATCTCAAGGTGCTTTGAATAATTGTAAGGAGCTAAACAAAAGGAAATTCCTTGAATTGTTATCATTCTCCTTTGTGTAAAACTGAGCCACTGTGCAGAAGCAAGTGTTTTTCAAAGTGTAGGTCGTTGGTGCGCCTGACCAATGGTGTGTTCCTTCCTGTGGTAAGGTCATTTGCCCCCGAGGAAGGGAAATCTGAGGGCTCTGAGGGAGGACCAGAGATTACCTTTGTGGTTATCAGCTTTATTTTAAAGCTCTCTGAGCTTTACTATGCAGTTTTTAATAGAAAAGAATAATCAAGACCAGTCCGCTCAAAGAGCTTATGGAAAATATATGAAATTTAGAGTTTAAAAACCAGATTTAACTGTTGGGACTATTTTTTAGCAGAGAACAAAGGAAAGCAAGAAAAACGACCCGAATGGCTTATTATGTAACAACCAGATGTTTAGCATCAACTAGGCCAGATGAGGGGGTGACATTTTCACTCTTCATCTGGTTGCTTTGGCCTCACTATAGACGCAGGGAAAGAGCAAGTTATATAAGCGTGCTGGAGTGGCCTTGTCCTTGCTCGGGGCTTGCCCTTCAAGAGACCCATGAAGGTTTGGCTGCATTTTTAAGCTTAGATGCGGCAGATTCTTAATGAACACATTGCTTATACACAGCATGAGTACGAGAAGCTTCTGGAAATCATCTAGTAATTGGTTGCAGGTAGACAAAGCTGTGGGTGAAAGAAATTTTCCCTTCTCATTTAGGTGTTTTAGGCTCAGGCAGACTTAGAATTGTTTCGTCATAAACATGCTAATCTAACATAATATTAAAATGTGCTTGCAAGCTCGTAAAAAGTGACAGGCAGCTGCTCTTCAGAGTGATAGATAGGTGTCCACGTTTCAGTGTGCTTTGTTTGTCAGCGTGTATGTTGGTTCCTGCTAGAAATGCCAGCGAAGGGCAACAAGCACATTCTGCTAAAATACGAAAACCAAGACCTGATTAGTGGAAGCGTTTGTTGAAAAAGCATTTTCACTGCACACTAATCTCTCCATATCCTGTGGGGAAATCCTTTCAATCCCATACCTGATAAATAAATCTGGCAAGTGAATAAACACTCTGTAAGTCTCTTACTGATATATAATTCCACCTGTTATGTGAGTTCTGCCAGCCTCTGAGCTCAGGCAGTATTATGTACCTTTCAGACTGACCTGGAACAAAGCCTGCCAAGAAAAAAAAAAATGTGTGCCGCGACCCTGCCCAGCACTGAGCACTTGACTCCAACCTTTCATAGGAACCAAGGGGGTGTTCAGGGCTAATGTTGACGTCCTGGATTATGGTTGTTATTATTTGGTCCTTTTGTTGAACTTGAATACTCCACTAGGCATTGTATAATACTGCAGATCAGAAACATCATGCTCTTTTGCTTCTGATTTTCCACTCAGGGCAAGGGTGGGGGTCCTGAAACTGCTAAAGAATCCTTTTTAAAAGTTAAATGGCATCTCAGTGCAAACACTCTCGCTTCTTTGAAGCCCATGCCATCTCCCCCGGTCCTCCAGGAGCCTTGTAATGCTGTTCTACTATAGTTCAGCCATAACTAACTACATTATAGTGATTATCTTACAGGATCCTGAGGGCACAGGCTACACTTTTTCACCTTTGTAAAGATTGGTGCCTGATACATCCATTATTAATTAGCTATTTATTAGTAACTAGTGAATGAATGGACTTTAGTCCTTTGTAAGTTTGTATGTTTATGTGTGTGAGACATTGCCAGAGAATGACAGTTAGGTTCTGTTAGATTAGGGATTTATTTCAAAATGAATTAGGAAAATTCTCTTAAGTCCTTGGTAGGCCCCTCAAAGATAGCAAAGAGTCTTCTGGCCACATGCAGTAACAGGGCGCACTATACCAGCACTATCCCGAGGCATGTCATGTGTGTCTGAAAAAGGACTGTGCAAAGGGAACCCCCTACGTGTCCCCCTAGCTCACTGAACATAAACCTGCACACACTGAAAATACATTTACAAACCCCAGAAGATTCAGGTTCACTGCCCAATGTGTACGAACAGTCATATATGATGTTGAAACAAGTTTCAAGATGACATTAGTAAAAGAATGAGATGGGTGGTTTGATATCAACAAAAAAACTCCCATTGGTTTTCTATTGCTGCATAACAAATTACCCCCCAACATAGTGATTTAATATAACAAATAGTTATTATCTCAGTTTCTGACGTTCAGGAATCTGGGCATGGCTTGTCTAGGTGGCTGGTTCAGAGTTTCTCATGAGGCTGCAGTCAGAATGTCAATAGGGGCCGCATTCATTTGAAGGTTTGACTGGGGCTGGAAGATCTGCTTTTGAGATGGTGCATGCATGTGGTGATTGGCAGGAGGCCTCAGTTCCTTGGGACATGGGCGTCTCCATAGGCTGCTTGAGTGTCTTCATGTGGTCGTTCGTTTCCCCCCGAGTGAGTGATCCAAGAGACGGAGCAAGGAGGACACCGCAGCGCCTTTTGTGATTTAGTCTCCAAAGTTGCCCAGCATTACTTCTGTTTTATTTTGTTCATTATAAGTGAGTCCCTAAGTCCAGCCAATACTCCAGGGGAGGGGAATTAGTCTTCACCTCATAAAGGGAGGAGTATCAAAGACTGTAGACGGATTTTAAGTCTATCACTGAGCTGTTGCTTCAATTAGACAAGTATGTGTTGAGTCCTAGTTGGCCTTTCCAGATGTGAACGTGAAATGTGTAAATCCTGCTTGCTCTGCACTCTGTAAGGAGTCCACCTAGAGCTGCCCAATATGAAAAAGAAGTTGTCTGAAAATGAAGACGTGTGGTTCTGACCTTGTACCTTCTATTTTGAAACCATTTTTGTTTTCTCTGTCTGCAACGTGGAGAGGTCTCTCCCTGAAATCGACTTGCAATCTCTCTAAAGGAGAATGACAATAACGCTCACTATTAACCATGCTAGGTGTTCCATGGATATAAATTCTCACAACCACCCTATGAGCCAGATGTTCCTATCATCATCGCTATTTTACAGATGGGGATTCTGAGGGATGAAATAATTTGCCCACGGTCACCTAGGCAGTACATGGTAACACTGGGAGTTAAGCTCAGGAAGTCTGCTTTCTCCACTGTGTTAGGGTGCCTCTCCCTTCAGGTGGACTGACTCTCTGCATCCAAGAACCCTAAAGCTAAGTTTAAATGTATGTTGTGTAGCTTTTACTTTACGCCAGAACATTTCAAAAACACTCTGAAAAGTATGATGGGATCGAAGGCTGGTCTTTATCACCATGACCACCCCTGGGCCCTGGCTGAGACGTCCCCCCATGGCTACTGCTCATCCTGGATTCTGGAAACCATTCTCTTTCCTGCCCCTTCAGGCCTGGAGATAGTTTAATAGCAGCTAGCCACTTGTGGGAGGCAGAATAACAGCTCCTGAGATGCCCATCCTCATCCCTGGAACCTGCGAGTGTGGCAAAATGGATTTTGCAGATGTGATTCAAGTGAAGGTCTTGAAATGGAGAGATTATCCTGGATTATCCAGATGTGCCCCATACACAAGAGTCCTGGTAGGTG